ACACACACACACACACACACACACACACACGAACAAAAAAAACACACACAAACAAAAAAACAACAACATACAGACATACCCACAAACACAGAATACCCTTCCTACGAACCTATTCAAAATTTAGCGCGGAGTTCAAAACTCAACAAACTCAACAACAACACATTCAATATCAACAAAAAATGTACAAGTTGCTCACTGTAAGATGGTTGTAATTGGTCGCTTTTTAGCACAAGGGGGCTATCCGGAAAAATGTTGTTTTGAGAAAATCGAAACTAAAGTTTTTGCCCCTTGTTCAGTTTCTTTAAAGGACAAGGAAAGTTTTCTCTATAACCAAACAAATATATACACAAATGAAACCATACTTCTCCTACAGGTATGGCAATGCCCACTTTTGGTGCAGGTCAAGATTTCTGGAAACCCCCGAAACCTGGGTTAGCCCGCTTGTCCTTGAACGCGACCAATATTTATAACGCGAACATGAATTGTTACTAATGTCCAGCAGTCTAAAACCCACTAACAACATTCTGAAGAGTTTTACAGCAGTCTTCAACTAATTAATTGCCAAAACAAAAGCTCATTAAACCCGTCTATCTTGACCTCTCTGTGTTATCATATATTTCACAATTATATCATCACCATCCAGTGCCAGATCTGCAACAGACATTGGCGATCATGGTTCTCCATTCATTCCTTTGCTCGGATGCTCTCAAAAAAGGTACGTTTCCCTGATTTTTCCCTGTTACCCATTTGTTTAGGTTCCCCAAGTAGATTGTTCTGGGCCGACCCCTGCCTCGCTTGCCTTCAATTTTGCCAGTGAGAGCTAGTTGTTCAAGACCCGTATGTTTATTCAGGTGCCCTAACAACTGCATTTGTCGTTTCCTGATTGTTTTTAAAATTGAACGTCCTACTATCTTATTTGATTTCTTTTCCTTCCACGATACTCTTAGCAGTCTCCTAAGAAACCACTCAATTATAAACATAAGAGTATAACACTCACCATCATACCAGCCCCCGACCAGATCCTTCCCAACGTCACTTCCGTCGTTGGTGGCCGAGTCAGCCTTCCGCCAGGGAATGATGTCGTCATCGATGGGTCCTGAACGCTGGACAAAATAGAACAACATGGACTTGGCCAGGGAGTCTCTGTAGTCGTACAAACCTGTGGGAGGGGGGATAGGGGTGGAGGTGGGTGGAGAGAGGTGGGAGATGGGGAGGAGGAGGGTGAAGGCATGGGAAGAGGGGAAGGGGGAGAGATGGGTTGGGGAGAGTGGTTGTGGGGAGAGGGGTTAATGGAGGGAGGAGA